GGCTAGCTTGATAGAAATACATTTTTCCTACCTACTTATCAGCATTACAATGCAATGAGTCCTAGGCAGATTATTTTGCATAGAATATTTCCATTGCTTGTTCAATTATGTGCCTTGTAAACATGAAAGGTTAATACAAGATAGCACTTCTCCCGTTGCATAGTTTGAGCTGTGAATGATAAATGCAGAATAGTTAAGTTTCTCATGTACAAATTCTTAAATTATTTTTGTATCAATAAAACTGCAAGGACATCATTTGACAATTGCTGAAGGGATCTGTGAATAAATTAAAGAATCATAGTATTTTTTAACACTAAGAATTAATAGAAATGAATACTGAAAACCTATTGTACCTATTGCTACCAGTGAATGTCCAACTAATACTATTTTAACAGCTTCCTTTTTTGTTAAGGTTTCTGAGTACTAATCCAATAAAAAAAAAAATATTCCAAGATGTAGTTGTCATGTTATGGTTGTGGGTGGCACATTACAGACACAATAAGCGATAATACAACGTTTCACCAAAAGGCCTTACTTCCTTGTTGCATAATAGATGGGAATTACACATTTAGCCTCCACTTTTGAATTACAGTAATTAAAGATACAGAATTCTGACTAAATTCATACCAGACAGTACTTACTTCTTGTAATGATCTTACTGTACAAATGGTGCTCTAAATTGGGTATATAAAGTTTTATGGAAGGACTTGTACCCTTTCTAACTTAATATTGAACTACAGGTTAGTTATTCTCTGGCACACATAACTGATAATGAATATTCCCATGCCACTGTAGCCAGATAGAAAGTGAAAGAATTTTTCTGATGCAATACCTCTTAGCTCTACAAAACCATATCTGGGCAGGAATCTTGTAATGCTTCACTGGTTAATAAACTATCCTACTCTTGTTATGCTAGATATATATAAATAGAAATCCCATAATTTAGAAACATTACAGTTCTTTTTTTTACATAAGTTACCACCATTCTATGTCTGATGAATCAGGCAAAAGTAATGAAAGAACAAGGTATTCCAATTTAAATTTTGCCCACGACCTGGATTAAATAAAAAATTCACACACCACTACAGCTTATCAGATCCACACAATGTATAACAGGGCTGGAGTCAAATTCTGTTTTTGAATTCCAATTTCCTTTTTACATTCAAAGAATTGCAATTGGCAATGGGACTAAGGAGTGAAATGGAAAAAAGTGATACTGACCCCAGCCCTGATACATAAACATGTAAGTCTGCTTTGCCAGAGTTGAAAGGCATATCACAAAGTATTAATCCTGCTTTCATTTGCTACATGTAGGGCTCCAGAGCAAAAGGATTTTTAATCTTTTCACATAGACCTAATGTTGATGTAATACAAAACATGTGCTACAATAAATGACTATCCACTGAACAACCAATATTGTACCATACAGCGAAGACAGATAATAAGGACACTACCTAATATATTATATATAATAACTAACCCTTGTCTTCTAACAATTGATTGTGTTATCTGAATGTTTTTCTACACATAGCTTTTTACTTTAAATCATAGTAAAATCTGGTAAGATCAGATCACACTTACTGTATTTACACACAAACACATCACGCCATTTCTCAGAATTTGCTCATACAAGGCAAACATTATTACTGTAAGTAGCTCTAAGATTTCTCTGAAAAACATGCTAGAAGAAGTCACATGTGAAAGGCTGCATGAAATTTCAATTTGCAAGATAAAGCAAAACTAAGAAAATAACATAAGTATGAAATATTGAACTTTTAATATATGCGGTTTCTACATTTACATTTCTTACTAGCAGGCAGCAGATTTACAAAGGCAAACATCAGAATTTTTTAAAAACTTTTAACTTATAAAATTTGAGTTTTCTTATCAACAAATAACACACATTTAAGGTTTCCATCATCGAAATCAATGCATGAATGACCAACAGATCATGTAAATTGGGGAATGGAGCTACAATAGAATTAACAGTATGCTGAGCACGCACAAAAAAAACTGAGATCAATAATTAATCATTAAAACACCAAATACATCTCTGATTAAGATAATACATTGCTACTAATATTACATTTAATGTATTGTCATAATTACGAAATCATTCTATGGGTACCTCTACAGGTAAATCATTGACAAATAAAAAAGTTAAAGTAATGTGAAACTTAATTAAACTACCATGCTTATAAAACCTCAACAAAAGCTGCAAAGATAGACATTAAGGTCTATCTTGCTTGGAGCTAGTAGCTATTGATCAAAAGAACCTCATACAGTGGTTTCTATCCATAATGCTAGGGAAACACTTCAACAACATGGTCTGGCAGCTTGTTCCATGCCTCTCATGATTTATGTTGTTCTGAACTCCTCGGTAGAACTATTTTCTTATGACTTAATCAATTATTCTATATTAAGAGGGTGGAAAGAGTCAAATACAAATCTTTTACTTCAGTGAAAATCCATATCAGCAATTCAGCCAAAATGGTAAATCAGAAGTTTAGTGATATTACTTATAGTGAAATAACACAATATCACTGTATCACTCAGAAATCCCAAATGCCACTCAATAGTGAGAACTTGTATTAATCTACCTTTTTTTACTTATTCTTGCTTCTTGGCAATTTGTTAACTTGAACGCATCACAAGTAGCCCATTTACTTGTGTATTTGTACAATTACCCAGACTACACACAACTAGGCCTATCATTATTCAGCTTTCCAAAGTTCTCATTTCTATGCTTTATTCTCCTGTTTTCTTTACAATGTTAGGGAAGACCTTAAATATGATTAGATCCCACAGATGCAGTAGATTCATATTACATCTGTGGGAGAGAGGGTGTTCGGGTTTCATGTTCCACAGTTCTTTATATTAAAAAACTTTCCTTTTTAATTCAAAAAATGTATTTTGTCATTATAATTTACATAGGTACTTTACAAACTGACATACTTATTTAGTACTCCAATATAGCGGGACAGTTGAATCAATACATTTGTGGCTTTGGGAGTTCATGTCTCCAGTGTCCCTGGGGTTCAACAACCCTCCAAAAATGTAATGAGACTTTGAAATGGAACGAAAGCATCAGTGTTTCTCCTGCTTGCTACTTGCTTTACACCACACCATACAAAGTAGCCTATATAGCCCAGGAGGGGGTTCAAACCTGGTCCTGAAAAAACTGCAGACATAGCAGTCCTTCAGGACCAGGAGCAGAGAAAGAGAAGGAACGGTCACCAAAAGTCTGAGATTAAGTCCTGGGGACGGTGAGTAGAGTACCGGCCTTAACTGAATGGAGGCTACGGAGAGGGGAGTGTAAACATAGGGGAGTTCAGAAATGTATGATGGAACCAGATTGTTTAGAACCTTGAAAGTCAGTACCAAGAATACATGACTTTATAGGCAACCAATGTGGACTTAAGTGTAGGAGTGATATGCCCCCAGGGTCTGGTGGGAGTAGTCTAGCTGCAGAGTTTCGATGTTATAAATGCGTGAATCAGGCTTTCAGCTTCGGACATTGGTAAAAATTGACTAATGCGGACAACAATTCTAAGGTGAAAGAAAGATGTCTTCATCAATTTTTCACATGCGGCTGAAAGACCCCCATATTCCTCACTATGGCTGATGCATGAATGGGGAAGCCATCCACCAGTACTGTGAAACCCTTCGGTTCATCCAGATGAGATTTGCTGCCCACCAGTAAATAGTTTCGCTTTATTTATGTAAATCCTATAAATAATCTCATTTGAATTCATGTCATTCTGCTTTGCTCTGCAATCTCAAGTTTTTCATACTGCAGATTTTTCAGTTTCACCTTGAAAATAAAGTTAGTCACCCACTGTGGTGCAATATTAATTTTCAATTCTGACTCCTATTATACACTGATCAATTAAAAAAAAGTCAACAGGCTATTCAGAATTCTAAATGACAATATTCCATTTGCTTAGGCTCAGGTTGGTAAATACATAAACGCACACCTGTCAGTTTGCATTTGGTTTTGGACTCATATACCACAGTATATTGTGTATTTTTGAGTGGAACGTCTAAAGCCTTTTTTATTTTAGTAAAGGCCACTTCTTAAACCTACACTTTACTTTTCCTTTATTGCAACACACTATTAAGACTTCAAACGGGGAATAAACCTTTAACCTAAAAATAGCTATACAAAACATTAGATAACCTACATTACATCAACGGAAGATACGATAATGGAAACGATTACCTGAACCACTATGTAGCATTTAACTTATTTTGTTTGTTGCAGAGGTAGTGCAGGCCTAAATGATATCTCCGGTCCAGTGGCTCGCTGCTATGTTGCGGAACGGCACGCTAATGTATTTTTAGGTTCAGAAGAACCCCACTGGATTACTGCAGGTCACCGGAGTTGTGTTGGCTGAGCGTCTGCGGCCCAGCTGTCGCACTTTGAAAGCAGTAAGAGCCCCAAGCATCCAGTTTTACAAAAATGAATTATCACTGTTGATATTTCAGATCCAACGAGCTGGAAAAGTATACACCGTCTTTTTCCCGTGTGAAACAATAACACTTTGCATTCCGTCTGGAGCAGTCAAGTAACTTATTTTACCTAAACAATAGGAGAAACTGCCTTTCAAGTTCTAAAATTTTGGATTTGCACGAAGCCTTCGGGTTAGTTTTCAATCTGTATATTCGAGTTAAGATAAAACCTCAATAACTTCTACAAACTGATTAAATTACCTTACTGTAGAGTACAACAATATTAATGTTGGTTTTCACATGAACAGTTCTAAAGTCATTACACCACGTTTACAAATACATCAGTACACAAATCTAAATGTGAGTCAATTGCTCTGTACATTAAACTAGATTTGTACATGTACGACAGTTTTGAAAGACAAAAATGCACCAGTAAGCAAAATCTTTCGCTTCCTACTACACAACCTCTTCCTATTGTTACACTGGCCTCTTCAAAATAAAAGACCAAATGTACGAAAAGTAAACAAATTCTACTTTTCTTTACTTACCGACTTTGAAGGTATTATGAATGCTCCCTGAGACTCTTTTTTTCCTAGCATTCAGCTCTTTCCATGTCAAAAATAGACGATTTAAGGTGACTTCGAAAACCCTATTTTTCAACATAAACTGAGACACCAATATTCTCGGTTGTTTTTCCATTACTTTACTAGTCTGAGGTCCCAGCGATTTGAAATTATAAACGCCGTCGCTGCTTTTGAGTACTGGTTTAACGTATTCCGTTCATCTCTATCACATATAATTAGGCACAGAAAACCGACTTTGTTAGATGCAACAATGTTGCTTTTCTCATTCAGGGACAAACCTCGCTCTACCTAGCGGTTTCTTCTTATTTACCAGAGAAAACTGCCAACAAAGGCTCTGCGTGCTGCGTCATGGCGTATGCTAATGAGGCTGACTCACACGTCAGTTTCAAAAAGAAAAGACCTGGAAAGAGAATTACAGCAACGTGTTTTTAGAAGTTGTTAAAAATCTGAACCAAGAAAACTGAAAAAAATTGACAAAACACCGAAAGTATTTTTTTCCGTGTCAGACAGTAATTATTTGTTAAAGATATATGAGTTGGAAAAAAAAAACATTTTAAAGCAATTTCTATTATCAGCACACATTTGATTTAGTTCGTTCTTTGAACTTTGCGTATGATCTGTTTCTTAAACCATTTTAAAATGTCTACTCTTTTAACTTCCATTTTATGTTTAAGTACAATGGCTTCTGTTAAACTAAGTATATTACATTATTATACATAACTTGTATTTTGTCAAATTTTATTAAGTATTAGTTGCATTTACTGTAGGTTTATTAGTAATACATTAACCTAATACTCCAAGTACATCAAGGAGATTTTGTCAGTAACTGTATGCAAACCATGGACCTGTAAAGAAATAATCTCAAAGAAGCTGGTTCCTCTGGTTCAGTTGCCAAAACATGGTCAGGATAGTACCCTCATTTTGTAGTAGTTTATTCAGCAAGAAGGCACTTGTACAATGAGTTGCATTGGCAACAGCTGTCACTATTGAATAGATCTCCTAACTTACCTTGATTTAATAAATTCTTGCCTGTTACTTTTCATATCCCTTGAGCAAGAAATTTTACCTTTGATAGCTATGCAAAAATGCTGGAAAGCTATCCAAGCCCTCAAGGGCAGACACCCTTAAACATACAGCCAAACAGCTGTCTCAGCTGAAATGATCCAGAAAAGTCAGTGGTTTAGCCCCTAAATGTGCATCCAGGATTCAGCACAGGATGTCAAATCTGACTACTAGGCACCAGGACAGTGCATGACAGGTCAACAGTTTCAACAGGTGATTCAGGGTTTCATGTCTCAACTATGAAGAAATGTACCTTCACACTGTATGTTGTGCTATCTGTTAGTAACTGATGAAGTGACGCGTGGTCAGAAGAGTGATGTTTACATGAGCAAGGAACTTCTTGTGTGTAATGTTCTCAGATATTATATTTTTTACACTTCAGTAATGGCTGTGTTAGGATGTGGTATCATATAAAAGATCACAATCAGCTTTCTGCAATAAATCAGTGTGGGATCCTTATGACAGGTGAAACATTCCACCTTGTGTTGGCCATCTTGGTGACAGACTCATTCTTCATAATGACAATACCTGGGCTCGTCCTAAATGTGTTGTTACTGACCAACAGCAGAGAAAAATCCACACCTTCCCTTAGCTAGCAATATCCATGGATTTCTTAGCATAGCATATGTACATGTATAGGACATCCTATAACGGTGTCAGACACCCACAAATGACTTTTTTTTTTTCAATTAAAATGGCACTGGATTCCTGGTGTCCAGTTTTTAGAGGCTCACTTTTAGAAGTTTGAGGTGTATCTGCACAGCCTGTTTTTCCACTAATGGTGAACCAACTTGTGAGCTTTGAGTACTAGATATTAACTTGTCCAGAACAGCAACTGTAATATCCCTTTGGGGCTATCCCACCACTAGAGGAAGTTAAGGCCTCTGTTGTCAATCTACTGTATAGTCTTACAAGCATTGTCTAATTAGTTAATCAGAAGAGGGCTTAGAGCCACATTCTCAAATGGTAATAAATTAATAGTGTTTGGGAGATAAAGATACTCACAATGGTATTTGGTTGTAGGCATGTGTTTTAGGGCAAGACCTACATGTGAATGGAGAAAAGGTTTGCTGAATAAAGTCTCCTTACACTGTAGTTTCTGTTGTTCCTTGAGTTTCAAGTGCTAATTATCTCCTCCTTTCTGTGAGTGTGAATGAGTAATCCCTGTGCTAACAAGTAGACATGAAATCTGGACTATGAATGCAAGAATGATTTGGAAATAAAAAGCAATGAAAATATGTATGGACTGCTGCATCCCAGATATAACAACATGGGACAGAAAAAAGACAAGAAGAGATAAGGAGAGCAAAGAAAAAATGGGCCATTGTAGGAAAAATGAAGGAACTAAAAGGGTAACAGGTGAGATACCTAACATGAATAATGGATCAACTATGAACCAAGGAAATTCTGAAATGAAAGAAAAGACCGGTAGGGAAGCATATTCTATGGTAAGCAGATTGGCATTTGTATTATTGTAATGACATACAGTATATGTTTTTCTAACTAGAGAATTTCCTTGTGTTAAAATATTACTCTTTCTCTGAATGCAGTCAATATTGAAAACCCAAAACATAGTAAACAGAAACAACATGTCACAGGAAGTGGAATATCAGCTCTGCAGACACAAATGCCAAATAACTGCACAAACCTGCACAAACAAAACCTATCATATTATTCTTGCAATAGCTAATATTAATCATCTCCAAGAAACATATTGTGATTATTGATGAATTGCCAATATGCCACCATTTATTTAATCAAATTAAATTTAGATTTCTATACATAATCAGCCCAGATGTTCTAAATCAATTTTGTATTGATTATCAACATTTAGCCTAGATTAAAGGTCGATATGCAGAATTAAAATGTGAATGTGTGCAAAATTACTTTTGAATTTTACATGATAAAATAATTAAACTAAGAAATTAATGGAGAGCAACATGCTTGTGTCTTTCTTAGTGCTCTTGGTGGTGTTGCTGGAAAAATATTTCACTACTGTGTTCCCATGTATTATGGTAGGTCTGTTGATAGGTTTAAGAACAGGAATTAGGGCTGGAGCTCATATACTGTAAGCCTTATTAAGAAGGCAATTGATGGCTAATAATGATTAGAATTACAATATTGAAAATACTTAAAAATTCCCTTTTTACAGGGAATATACAGTACAAAAAGGTATCCTAAAATAGTAAAACACATCAAACAGCTTATTTACAATATACTATTTTCAGTGTGGTATGGTTATATGGAGTCCTTAAGAATTTCTTCAACCACCTGTCCATCCCTCCATTTTCCAGCTCCGTACTCGGGGGAGGCAGAGCTAAGCCATATACTCCCTGGATGGGACTCCAGTCCATCACAGGACAGATCTCCTCAACCAGTAGTTACAAAAGAGAACCTATTAGTGCATATTGGTAAGAGGGATTTTCTGTTGTGGGGAATTTTTTCTTTAACAAAGACATACATTCTCTGACGTATCTCACAGAATATTATCTACGTATTTGTACATCTGCAGTGTTTGATACAATATGAATCAGCACTGTTTTTAAAATCCAGATACAACATGTAAACACTGATAAAACCTTTAAACGTTCATTGAGGTAATATATGTTTCTTTGGATCACAGTACTATCCTAATGAATTAATAATACAGAAGCTATACCTGTATAGCACATGAAGAGACTTATTGCAGTCATTCTCATTCCGTATGCCTCTTGCTCCAGTGCATTTGAATGCATTTGTATTGCCATTATATCCTTGAACAAGATACTTTACATTGATAACTGTAAAATATCCAGCTATAAAAATGCAGTTTGCTTGTTATCCAAGTGTCAAACATATAAATGAATAATAAAGATAATCAGAGGCCTGTTTCAAACTGGGGTTTTCAAGGTGTTTTCAGCATTTTGTTGGAAATATGTGCTATTTTCTCTCTCTTTCTCAAAGAGAAAGACTTTTCCTCTTTCTCTTTGCTCTCTCTACATACTGTACTGTATATAACTAAGATATGCAGGAGTGGAGCTGCAACCAGAGGATATGTTGGGTCATGCAAGGTTTTATATTTAGTTCTGCATCCAGTGGATGGGGTACTTTAAGCTGTCATATCCTGTGCTCCCATCCATATCTGGGTTTCTCCTGTGGATCCCTGACTGTGACAGATATTACTAATGTGACAGATACCTTCCAGCTCCATTCTTCAGTCTCTCTGACAAAGAGTACTGGACCATCAAACCATGCTATCTGCTGTTACGCACAGTTGAGATCAAGACACATGCCACAGCTCTAGTTTGAATACCAGCATCAGAGGCAGAACAGTGGTTTTGATTTACAAGTGTGTCAAAGCATTTAGCAACCCTGCTCAGGACTAAGTCATATCCTTTTTTAAAAAATATATATATTATAAATGTATTTTACTTTGTCTGCTATAAATTCTGAAAATGATTTTCCTTTTGGTTTATATTTTACGGATAAATGGAAATTGTAAGTATATGAAGTTTCTTTTCTTTATTTATTATGTGTTACTATTATGAGAACTCAACACTAACTTTTTTATAGGGAATGCACATTACTATGCAATCAAATATATAGGGACATTATGTTTTGAAAGCTTAAAATAGCACCTTGTTGAGACTGAATAAACACGTATTGTGCTGGACCCACAGCCTCTATAAGACAATTTTCTTTACTAAAATAGAATAGTCCCAAAGTTGTCACATTCCAGTACTGATCCTCCCTTTCAGAATAGGAAGATTTTTTATGTCAATTTATTGAACAATCATTACTTTTTATTCAAATCTGAGCAAATTTCTCTATAACTGCAGTTCACTGTAATAATTGGCATATCTGCAGGATCACTAATGCAAACTAGTTTAAAGAAAACATACTGTTGATTAAAAATATAACACATTTTACTGAAAGGAATTCATTACATTTTAAATGTTACTTTTTAATTTCCATTAAGCAGTAGCATGTGTAACCACAAGTAGAAATTAAGAAGAGGATTTAGAACTGAAAATAAAAAGTACATCTTTAGGCAGTTATACTGTATCTATCTAGAGTCAACTAATCACATATTTCGCTGGATCCTCAGAACCCACCAACACAAACGAATGGATGAATCCTTAGATCAGTTAATCACCCTGCAACTCCCAACTGGCAACGCAGGTGTGAGCCGGACAGTACCTGGATGCGAGACCTCCTGGATAAGATGATGTTGCTGCTGGAAGAAGTGTTAGTGAGGCCAGTAGGGGGCACTCTCTGTGTCAGTCTGTGTGGGT